GTTGGTATGGTACAGATATAGCCATTCAGAATGTGCGTTAAAACCCTGTAATGCGTTTCAAGGCCTACACTTTACAGTACCTTTGGCTGTCCAAAGATGATCGACAGGTGGCACCTGTGGTTCATTAGATTTTAGTGAAACAATAACTTAATTTAATCTCTCTACTGTGCATGTTTAAATCCGTGGAATTTTACAACTAAAGGGAAATTGTGGTAGCTGAGAACAAAAATAATAGGATCATAACGTCTCTGAACATCATAAACGATACTGATTTAGGAATATAAATATGTTACACATACCGTATATTGCTGGTAGTGGTAGCTAAAATTAATAAAAACAGTGTTCCACTTTCTTCATAAACATATTATGAATCAAAGTCTTTAACTCTTACAGCGGTTATTTTGGAAAAGTTTTGACATGCTCGTTCTAACTATATTAAGTTGATATACTTTATAAAAAGCTATAATGTTTTAACCTTTTATATGAATACTTGCTGTCGTTATTGCAGTAAAAAAATGTGTACTTTTTAGAATCCACTTAATAGGGAATTTAATATGGAATTGCTTATCTAAAGAAATAAATATTTATATGGCTCAAAGTATTACGGCATTACACTTTCTTTGTAAACATCTGCATCAATTTCTTTGAGTCATTCACTCGTGGTTACTTTGGAAACATTTTAATCTGTCTGTTTCTGTCTGTCTGTTTCTAAGCGATGCTTTGGTACAATAGATTTTGGTGCTTGCCTATCAACCTGGAGGTCAATGTTCAATTCCTGGTCAAGGAACAAGCTTTTCTTAAAACAACTACAGACTCATTTAAAAAAATATATATATTATGTACACTATATTGGCATTTTATTATTTTTATACATCACAATGTGTTCAATGTTAAATTATATCAATAAATCAAAAATACGAATGAGCAAATGTGAATACCGTCAACAGTGGGAGTAAAAACCAATTCAACTGATTTAATTCAAATCAATTCCAAATACTGCATTCGAATGGGGCAATTCAAAACAAGCCTTAAAACAAAATTGTACAGTATATATTATAATTATGATAGAGAATAACAAAGTTGTATTAAAAAGACCACTGAAACTATAATAACATATGTGATCATTATTAACAATGTTAATTTATTAATAATAAAAAAAATCAAACTGCTTGTATCTTGTTTAGGGTCATTTGTCACTGTTATCAAAACCGTTCTTTCTTATTGAAACCTATTGCCTATTTTTGAGACACGATGCTTCAGAGCCTTCAAACTACAGGCATTTTAAAGATCGCGTCTTGTGAACATTTTCACAACTTTTATATAAACAACCTCTAGCACCCGTTTCCATGTTCAGGAACCTTATGTTAAACAAAGCGGATCCCAGGTGTATGCGAGATCATAATGCGAGAATTACAGTACAATTTAAAAGTTATAATGTATGTATGCAAAACCCCTGACCATGTATATATATATATTATGATTACAATCTAGAATAACAACTAATATTAAAAAGACCACTGAAACATGCACTGAAGCTTGCAAAATGATCTGCGTTTAATCGCAGCCAAAACGCAAGGTAGCTAATTATCCCTTGGAGTGCCTTTAGTGCTTTTTTTAAGTGTTGCTTATTCGCAGTGGGGGGAGGATGTGTGGTGGAAAGTTTAGGCTGCGTTTGAATTGGCACTCTCCGTTCTTCACACCTGAAGGTGGCTCCACAGCAGAAACGTGCCTCTTTTCTTCTCTTTTCAGCATGGAATACATTACTTGTTCCTTGCCGGCCTACACATGCTGACATCGCTACCTACTTGAACTCTCAGTTCGTGTCTGTGAAAGCTTTGGAGCACTTTACAGCCATTTTTATTTTCTTTGTGGTGCAACTTTGAAGTGCAATAGAAAATGAAACCAACTGTAAATAAAATGACATTGTCGACTGTAAATATTATGACGTCTACATAGACGTTTTTATTCATTTTATGTATCGCAGTATATTTACTTGACATTCGCGATTACTTGAGCGTACAAGGGAGTATCAGATGTCAAGGAGACGCAACCCCCGAGATTTGTGTCTGTTGTAACTGTTGATAAATGGAGGATATAATTCTAGCCTTGCTGTTTATTGACGAATATTGCGAATATTATACATGTGTGCTGTGTGATGTGGTTTTTGAATTGAACACACATTTTTATTTGTGGAATAGATTGTATTACATATTGTTAAATCACATTGTTAGGCTATATACTGCAATGAAAAAAAAATCATACACAGGACTTTTTTATCCCAATCAGGATTTTTTAAGGAGTGCCTTCTTGTCTCCTGACACGACACACATCTGTATCACATGAAGTCATATCCATATCCAGATACAGTATACTGAAACAGTAGTGTAGACAGGTCAATGAACTGTAGTTTAAGTGTGATCTATACTGTATAACTATACTGTGTATACAGTATGAAACTGCATTTTTTAAAGCCACTACAATACAATATGTGAAACATTTTTACAATCAATATCTACTAATTGTACTAAATTCTAAATTCTAAATGCGGAAGTAAACCTGAAAGAAGCAAATCACGTTCACAACAAAACATTTTTATACATCAAACTAAGCAATTTTGTTTTTGTAAATTAAAACAATATTAATTTCATATTTTATATGCTGTAATACACAGTTTAAATTTAATAAAAGTCTCAATATTATCCAAGTTAAATTCTACAATTCTAATATATATTCTAAAAGACTGACCCTCAGCATTGACCAGGATTTGAAACCAGGCATTTTCTGGCAACAGCCCAAATACTTCTACCCCCCAGATTAAGCATTCACTGCTCTGCCTGCTGGTTTTACTAAGTAATGCAATCCAAAAACTGATTTTAAAAAAATGGGGTGTGTTATGTTGCACGCACCACAAGGTGCTCCAGTATCCGGCATGCATTCTGATTGGCTGGATCTGTAGATAAACACATTAAGACAACCATCCTCTTAGGAAGGTGAACTTGTTTTAAGGTCACCGGCCTAAATTCATGTTAAGTGGCTGCATCACAGGAGACCCCTTATGCAAATTACTGGAACAATTTAAATTTACAATTTAATGAACTCTGCATCTGTGATGCTTATATGTATTGAGCAGAATCAAAGCAGAATACAGTAAATGCAAGATGAACATCTGTTCTGAGATGTAAAAATACTTCTTGAGCCACTAAATTGAACCCCTACCTCTCACTTCTTGTCTTAGTTGATCTCCCTTCTGCAGCACAGTTGTCACTAACATCACATATGCTCTTGAAATTGGAAATGTTATGCCTTTTCATATCACATTTAATCTATTCTTTCAAAAATACTTTTTCATTCCAATTAAATGAAGCAGTTTTTGAGAAATTGTGTTAACAGAAAAGGTTAAACTAAAAAGCAAGAGGATCAAACACAGAAGTGATATCTACCTCAGGGACTGGAGAGAAATGCAAGAACATATATGCAAAAAAGATAAGAAGGCAGCAAGTGAGGACATATTTTTAATAACAGCTTCCCCAGCTGCACTGCATTCACCCTAAGGTCCATCACGACAAGCATCTACAACAATCACCTAGTTAGTTCCAGCTTTGTACTGAGGGCAAAACTAGGTAAAAGAATCAACGCATTATCTTCACTGACATGCAGTGTGAGCTCATCAGCAGAAAATTAGAAAAAAATGTAACACAATCTGCAGGAATAAAGTACTGAAAAGAGCAACTTTGAAAACTTGAACATTCTTCTGAGTGGCCATATCGTCCATCTCTTTAATGCAATGACAGTCCTGACTGCAAACATGAAACATTTCTTATCACCAAAAAAATTGGACAGCTTCACCACTTCTGTCTGAAAACTCTATTACTTTAAGCATTTAACGATGATGCAAATGTAATAAAAATAAGTATTATGAGTAAATAAGTAATAAGTAAAATAAGGGCGAGGACAGGTATTTTAGCTCATCATCACTTATTAGCAGGTTGAGAAAGAGAAGTTTCGTAATTTATTTAGATATATATGTGAGGCAATTCTTTGAAACATTATTTTAACACTCAAAAGTCAATGCCATTTACATATCAAAATCTTTGAAGAGAATGCTAAGGAAATGCAATGCAACAATTCCTATCATTTGTCTTTTATTTCCTCATTTTCTTATGATTATGTTTTTAAATAATTACTGCTTTAAACAAAATCACTGCAAAAACTCAGCAAATACTGTAATTCACCTATGTAACATGGCTCACTTGAGGCATAGTCCTCTTAAGGTCACACAACCCCCTAAGACGGCCATTATTGTCAACTTCTCCCTGAACGGCAGACTAGCCTTTTGGTATAACAGAATTCATCAGTGGGTTGAGGAGGCACTACCTGACTTTGGGCTGGGAATATGCCTCAGTGATGACAATGAAATCCTGGAGAGGGATACGTATTTATAAAATCATCAAATCAAGACATTTAGCATACTTCTAATATAGTTAACAACATGCTTAGAAGACTTTCAAGGAAAGAAGGCAGAGAGTGTATTTCACACTTAAAAGTATTCAACTGATAGCCCCACAGAGGGGATAAGTTCTTTGAAGCCTCTCTATATTCCTTTGAAAAGGTGAAAAGGTTACAGACTCCACAGCATGCACACAATCGCAGCATGACATCTTACCAGAAAGGCCAATTAAACTTTTAATTGCAACCCATGTGGGTCAAAGATGCAACACAGACAGGCTTGTCATCAGCTTGCTGGCACACTTAAAAGGAAAACCCAGGGTTCTGAAGTCACAGAATTTATAGGATCCATTGGACATGGCATACCAGTTGTACTCCAAACTGAATGCTAGGCGTAGTTCAAATCTGCCAGCTGGTGCACTGTAAAGTGCACTTCATTAATAAAGAAACAAAAAAGTTCCAGATTATTAAAGCTAAAATGAAATCTTTCATGGTATTTCACCCAATCATGTTATCAGTGCACTGGTGTTCACTTATTGAACACGGCGCCTTACCTGTACAGTGGAACTGATCTCAGAAGCAAATCCTCCTGTTACTGGAGCTTCATGGCTGATAAGGAGTCTCCCAGTCTTCGCTACAGACTGGAACAAAAAGCAAAACAAACATGAGCATTTATTTCCTCATCGAGAAACACTGGAATGGTGTTTGCAAATAAATCTGATTGGAAAACAATTTTTGGAAGTTTGCAGAAGAAAGTAACAGCTAAATATACACAGTATACAATGTTTATTTGATATGGCTATGCACACTTCAGAAAACCTGATCATCAATACTGATTAACTGGCTTAACATGTGGCACCATGAGGTTTTACATTTGTGCATTATGACACATTTTATGCAAGCAGGGAGATATACAATACAAAATACACAAAATGATTATGGAAATCACAAAGATAAGAACTCTTTGAATTTTAGGGTGTGAGAATGTATATATCAACCTAATCAACAATGTAGCAAGCTACACACTTATTAAAATGCCATTCTTTGCATCAGTGAATTCTATTCTAGTTTTAGCTGAAGAGTAGGTAAAAAAAATCATACAGGTGAAGCACATTAACATCTGACACTGAACACTTAGAGATGCAACTGAAGATCATGAGAAAGATAACAGTCATCAAGAAGGGGCATGTTTTGTTCTGCTTTAAGAACTTCTGTCATCTTATCCTGTGCCCCTGGGGCTGGTCTTTCTACTTGTTGGGTCATTTAAAGATTTATAAGGGAACCCCCAGAGGCACAGGATCTTTAAGAATGGGAAGTGTCATTGTTAGACAATAAACCTGTAGTAAAGATCTTTACCTGAACATCATGAAGTATGAAGTATGGCATATGAAAAAATAGTCTGTTAAGACGTGACAAAAAAAATATATGCTAAAGTACTGTATGTGGCCCTGAGACCATTTCATAAATGAATTTAACTTAATGAATAATTAATGAAAATTAAATGAATGAATGAGTACATTCCGATATAAGACTAAATAAAAGCAGCGATATTTTACAAAACACATTATCAAATATCACTTCATTCTGCAATGCTACTTTAAACACTAGCACTTCCAGATATGTTGTTCTGAGTATTCTCATTGAATCACACAAGTTCAGTACTTTATTCGTTAATAACCACATACAATAAGTTTAAAAGTATTTATAAAGTTGTAAGCTTGAAAAGTTGTAAACAAATGTATATTTTTATAGTCTGACCAGAAACACATTGACAAAAAACTCCATTTGTTTATTTTTAAAAAATCTTAACGCCCATACTTGACAAAGCATCTGTATTAAAAAAATACCATGTACAGAGAATATTCTAGTTATTGCATTATCAGTTTTAATTTGGAATACCCAGTTGGTTGATCAAGATGTACTTCAAACAGTGGAATATTTTTTTCCCCATAGATCAATTAAAAAAACATCCCCTTTAACACTTAACTTCAGTTGTCTCTCAGAGAATAGTTTCTTTCCAATCTTGATTATATACAATGGGCTACACTGATGTAAGAGAGGTAGAGACATTATATTGCCATTTGTTGTAGCACACACAGCAAGGTTTACTGTTAGGTAAGGCCATTATTTTAGAACACGTAGAGCACAAGCACCCTGTGACCAAAAAAAAATGTTTATGTTTTCAACCTGCAAGAAGGTTGCACAGAACTGACATAAGACACGTGTTGCATGTAAGGCATGGCATTTGTATTGCATTAAAGCGCAAGGGCATGATAATTAATTTCAGTATTATCTTACAGAGCAAAAGGTCAAATATAACACTAAACAATGACGTAGACTGATATTTGCTTGGCAATGACATTAAAGTGCGGATTAGTTCCATTTCTTTTTAATCTTCCTAAATAAATGGAAAAATTTAATCTTCCTCCCTACATGTTCACTTTTGAGCCACACCACATGGTAATCACTCTGCTTTAAAACTCCAAACACTTAATGAAGTTGGTACGACCACCTAAACATTCAAACCGGATGTATGAGTCAAGCCACAATAATTTCTTATTTATCCGAAGATCAGGCAATGAAATGAATAGCAATAAAATATATCAGTGTTGGCTACATCTCCAAAGTTCCCCCAAAATTATATTTAGTGAAAACACTGCAATATTTTCAGGTGTCACATTGGGCTATTTCATTTGTTCCTTAAAAAAATACACACACACACACACACACAAAGCAAATATGGTAGCAAATGACTTAGAAGTGTGTCCAGAGAGGAAGTATTGTTGTGACTGTGCGTCTGAAATTTAGATACACATGGTAATTAAGGAATACAACCATTTCCCTTTGGATTTACTGTAACCCTACATTTCTGTATGAAGAGACTCCACCCGTGTTAAACCACTGCCTGAAGTATGAGACCAGACTTCAGCTGGGAGTCGACTGCTTGTTGGGTGCATTGTTTGCAGTCATGCTGAAATCAGCAGTTTTTATGGACATAAGAAGAAAGCCAAATGAGCTTCTTCAGAAATAAATTGCATAGTAGACGCTCACTATATGATTCCATAACTTGCAAACATTTGCATTTTTATAAAGGGATTAAAATGCATAACCTGTAATTCGGATAACTTCCTTCTAAACTACAGATTAGAAACGGGGGAAAAAAAGGCTTTCGTTTTAAATGTGCAACGTAAATTTATAGTATTTGAGACAGACATGATCTAAAATCATTCTTTGGCTGTGCCAGAGTTAACTCTCACGTTTAACAACTTAGCTTTCAATAACTTAACATTTTCTACGCTGAAGTCATGCTTAGCGTTAAAAACATAAATAGGTTTTGCATGAAATGCTACTAAACATGTGTTAAGACAACTTGTTTTAGAATGTTGTCCTTACAGAACACAAAGGATTCATGATCACATTCCTATTAACATAAGGAACAATTATGAAAAAACAAATACAAAGAATATGAGAAAAGAACAGAACAGATACTGTAAAAACGAGTTCGAGTAAATAATGAACCAATGCAAAAACAAAGAGGTGAACAGGTATGTTATATATGTGCCAATCTCGGGTAAATGCATTACTTAAGCTAATGAAACAAAGCAGGTAATCAACATGCACAGTTTTAAAAAGAATATCTGAATTTGCATCTTAGCTGTAGCCCTAAATACTCTATAGCAGTGGCTGAAACTGGACATCAAACATCTCAACCTCCAGCCCTATAAAACTGACTGCTTATCTAATAATCTCTCAGCTATTGATTACAAGAAAACACATTTCACAACAAGTCATTCTTTTGCAAATTTTGGCAAAGAATGCTTACTGAAGTCGTTCATTTACAACTCGGCCTCTTCATAAATGCCATTTTTTCTGTTACTGTAGGTGGTTTCATTAGTGGACAAAAACTGAAAATGTGGGCTAGCTGGGGAATATTAAAAGGGGTTATACGGTCCTCATAGAGCTTCATTTTTGCTCTTTTGGCTATGTACTAAACATATTATACACAATATACTGTATGTAGACCTTGTCCATGACAGACTTTCAAGTGGGATACTTCCAGATACTAACTGCGGTCATTTTTTTTCTACAAAATCCAACCAACTGTAGACCCACGTTACAGCTGATAAGGGTGGAAAAGTGAGAAATGGTTTCACTATTCCATTAAGGGGGAGGTGAAGATGGGATATAATGTGTAAACCCAGAATGGAATTTAACCTGGACACCAGGTTTATCACTCCTACAGGTTTGCGAGAACATTACTGGCCAATTAGTCAGGCCCATGGTTTATTGTTTCATCTGAAGGACAGCCACAAGTCTCCAGACACCATAAGGAGATATTAGTTTGGAAAGTCTAGGTCAGAGGGAAAATGTCATACTGGTTTATCAACTACAAATCAACACTTTATAGTTCATTAAGTGCACTACAAATAACACGCATTTTAAGGTTAACTATGAGTTAAAATAAAAAATTTTACTCGCTAACATCTAATAACAATTTTGGCTTCTTTTTCATTCTTTTGATGTTAAAAGATCACTGAGAGACTTAATATATGATTTTCCGATACAAAAGACTCAGATGTACTGGGTTCATAAAGTACTAAAGCAGTATTTACAACAGATATTCTTACAACAGGTATTATGCACGTTATAAACCAACATGTGGTAAAGCTCATGCCTTACTTGGGTTCTAAGGTTTTAGCATTCTCTTCATCTGAAGTAAATCTCTCAGGCCTGGCGGTGATGTACTGTTCTTAATAAAGAAGACGACAGCCCATGACTACGCTTTAAATAAAACACTACATTACATCATGTCAGACAAAACAAAAGGGAATTCCAAACTATGAAACATGCAAAGAAAAAAACAGAAATTACATAAAAAGGCTTGTGAGCCCATATTTCTGAATGAATGAATGCAGAAAATTGGAATTTCTTTGGCACAGATTATTTGAGTATTGTGCATACTGTGCATAACATGAAGCAATATAATTGATGTTGAAATCTTTTTCAGTAAACTAAAAACAGATTTAGAAATAATGGAAATAATTCCTGTGATGCGGATGGAATGGTGCAAGGCAATACATATTTTATATAATTAATTAAAATGAAATGGTATTTCAAAGTTGACTAATTTAATAAAATACATTTTTTTAAATAATATACCAAATCATAATCCTGAATGGTGGACCATTCTGAGACATTTAACACGAATTTGTAGCTGAAATCCCTATTGCACTATTTCAATTAGTACAAGACCGTAATTCCAAATGACAATGTAACCATTCCGCAAAGTTCATGTGTAACTCTGATTAAAGTGTTATTTTAATACCAGAAGTGGTTAAAATATAAATGATTATATAACAGGAAATGCCAGTTCTAGAATAAAAATACTATTTTAGGTGTACTAAAATTTGGTACCTCTGACTAGTAGTATATTGTTTAAAAATTTTTTCCTGCTTTAGTTTTCCAGTTTAAATAATAACGAATAATTTGACATGTAAAGGATATTCTTCATGTCCTCTTGGGTGAACCCCATTTTTAGATGTAAAATTCAGTTTAGAAGCACCAATAGGGGTTCAGAAAGATCATAAGGAATCACATTACTTAAACGTCACTAATAAAGAATTCAGAAATCTAACTTCGA